GTAGAGCTTCCGTTGTAATAACGGAGGGAGGATAGGAGGAGAGGGAGAAAAATCGCCCCCGCCCCCCTCCCCTCCTCCAGGAGACCGCCCTGGATCCGCCTATGCCACCAAAAGAAATCAGAATCAGTTTGTATGCTAATTTTATTTACGGACACCATCGAAAGAAAGATCTGTATGATAATTAGCTTTCAGATGATCCTTACATCATGCTTTTTGAGCAACTAGCAATCTAAACACATGCTGCCTCAGGTCAGGATATTGAGTGTCGAGCAAGGCTACGCAGAGGTCGAGAAAGAAGATGGCAGCAAAGGTTACGTGCCCACCTATTTCCTGGATTTGGAAACCGTGCCTGGTGATAACTTTGGAGACCAAATACGGTTTGTTTGTTTTTGGCCTGTTCCCTCCATTTACCAGAAGAAAATTTCGTTTCGTCGTGTACGCGTGAAAAAAACTTTGCGACCTGAGGTTGGTTTAGGTCTTTCAGCCTTAGGTTTTTATTTAGTTTTTCGGTCGCTGTGACCGCTGAACTGAATTTTGTCAAATTTTGAGATGATTATCCAAATTATAACTAGAAAAGTTGAACTATTTGCATCTGAAGTCGAATTTCAACTGTCTTAGTTTTGCCTAAATACTTTTGGTGCGCAACTAGCGCTAAATAACTGCGTGTTAATTTTTTTTTTGCTGGTACAGTTCTAAATCTCTGCGTGCTGATACTAAAATTTTTCGCGTTTTTTTTCCTGTTGGATAACCCTAGCTCGATTCGGTGATCTTTTGTTAGCTTTTTTGACTTTATCAAATTTAACTAGCAGTAATCCCAACAAAATCCATTACATACCTTTTCCAGATTTCTCTTTCAGATATCGTCGTAAATGGTACCGTTTACTGGATAATGCTGAAGCGGCCATTTATGAAGATAATCCATCAAATTTACTAGACAACATTGGTTACCTAACTGCTTTAACATCATTCTTCCCGACGGCAGAATCCGAGCAACGAAATGTGCGCGCATTGAGCTCGCCGAGAGATCACAAACGGCCAATATGCATCGAGCCACTGCAGGATATGACGACGAAAGTTAATGAAAAAATCATTTTGCAGTGCAAATTTTACTCGGAAGAAGCGTATACAGTCATATGGAGGGGGCCAGCAATCGCTGCCGGACGCTCTTATGACGTAAGGGTAGGTAGTTATAAAATACCGTTCTATGCGTTTCTTTTTTCCAGCAATCACTCATAGTCACTACTGTCGTTGTTATTCAGAAATTATTGTTCATCCTCTGAAATTAGCACCTGACAGAGTTTGTTTCAGACAGACAAAGATGGGCATTCAATATTGACATTAAGAAATTGTCTGGAGGAAGATGCGGGTCAGTACTGGGCCCAAGCCAAAAACGTCTTCGGCAAGTGCCATTCAGTAGCCTGGATAGCTGTTATCACAGCACCGGGCTGCACACATATCACTCTGTGCAAAGCTCTTCATCGCACAGCAGTTCTCTTACAGTGGAAACGTGTAAAATCTGGAAATTCAAAAAACGTTTTTTATGCCGTGCAATATAAACGGAAAGGTATATTACACATTACTTTGAAATTTTAGCCATTATGTTGCCACTGGAATCTGAAGAGAGAGATAAGTGATGAATTTTAAAAATCCTTTAGGTTTTACTTTCTTAAATACCTTCAGAAGATTTTTTTCTAAACTGACCTGCAAATTGCTAAAAAATCGGAGATGCGCGACATCTTGATGTATTCTTAACAAATTCAGGCTGGAACGCACCAGGCGGGCCGATGCAATCATACGTTTTTGTACTGTCTCGTGCTCTAGCAAGATTGCAAGAAATCACAATAGCTAGAACTTCTGACATACTGGTCCTTAAAGTTTATGAAGTTAACCTATGTGGCATGTCAGCTGTAGATGTCGGCTTCAGTGATCCG